TTGGGAAAATATAAATGATTCACTTAATAAGGTGAGGGCAATCCTCCCCTAATAAGCCGGTTTTATTAGGTGGAGTTATGCCCAATATTCCTAACAGACAACTAAGGTTTTAAGATGTTTTTGACTTCAATAGGGATTTAAGTTTGTTTCTCTACTTCATGAACAACAAACTTGAGCTACTATATATATAGATCAACTAAAAGTCCATAATTGAAGATAAAAAGAAACTTAAGCAAAACTATGTTTATACATCCTTTTAATGGAATTTATTGTTACTGCATAACGCCTGCAGTTAAAAAGTATCTCATTTGTGGACAGCAGTAGCTCTTCCATTGTAATTCTCTATTGTGAATGAACCTGTTTACTTATAAAAATTTGAACTGGAAACTTGTAAAATCAAACAGGTGAATGTTTAGACCTAAGCAAGACACGTGCAAGAAATAAAACATTTTCACATACTAGACAGAGGGAAATTTGAGTGTGCAAATTTTTAGTGACAACTCTTTCTATACAGAACTTCAACAATTATTTATTTCACCAAGTAAAAAAATATCACTACCTCCAGTGCAGTTTTGAATTTTGCTAGTGCTTCATAAGCCAATTTCCTCATATCAATATCAGGTGAAGATACACCGACAAATGTAACTGCAAGCAAGCCCAAACTAGCAAACTCAATGGGTTCAATATAGCCCATTGACAGACAGTGAACCGAGAAGCGCAGGATGAATACAGGATCGTACATTTGCATCTTATCAACGGTCACAGAATAGTCCTGCAGAGCATCACTAACAATTTATTGGACAAGAAAAGTCATGAAAAGATAGTAGCTTCCCATTTAGGAGGGAAAAAAATAAAGAGAACAAGAAATGGCAAATAGTCAGTGCCATGAGCTTGCCCAAAAAGTACCTCATGGAAGTTTTGAAAGTTATCTTTTTTACTCTTGTTTGGTACCTCATTGACAGATCTATCATAAGGAAAATAAAGCACGGTTCGTGCACACAACTTTGGGTCAACAGGAATATTCTCTCTAAATTGATTTCTTCGGCGATCTTCAAAGGCTTCAATATCAGTCGTGTTCAAAAAAGCTATGCCCTGGTCCTGTTCCCTTTCTTTTCTCACTTTTAAAGCAACAATGCCCCATAGATAATCCATTTTAGCAATAGTTCCAGTGCTTGACTTATCACCAGACTCAATTTCAATCATTAGACTATATATTTCTAAATCAACTTCAGAAAGTGTTGCCCCATATGAAGACAAAAGCAAATAAAGCAACTCCTTTGAATTTATGCCAGTGTCTCCTCCACCATTAACTTCGCTTTGGTGAGCATTGATGCGGAAAAGCACCCTGACCAACTTAATAAGTTCTAGCTTCTTTAAATTGAGCTGAGATGATGTCATATTACTTCTGTTGAGCGCATCAGTATGAGAAATAACAAGTGATCTTAATATGCTCTGCATCGGAGTAAAAACCAAGCCAAACTGAGTAGAACTGTATGATTTGCAGGACAAATGAATTGTTTTCGTGAATTGGGAGTGAGCAAGCAAAAGCTGGAGTAGTGTAATGCAAGAGAAATTCCCCTGAGATAAAGAAGTAAGAACACTTCGCAGCGTCTGCATTGTTGCAAGGTCCTCAAACCTATAGAGAAGAAATGACTTGCCAAATAATTCTATGAATGCAAGAGAATCCAACCTGATAAGGTAATCACACATCGATGCTGTCAGATCCGAAACAGTTCTTATTATGAAGACTTCCAAAAATCTTAACAAAGAAACGTTCTTGTCTTCTAATTGTTTGGAATGATCAATGTCTCCAGGGAATTTCTTGACAAGCAACATCCAGGAATGAATCAATAAACTTACGAACCGGATTCTTGACTTATCTAGGGCATCAGAGTTAACTTCGAACAACTTCATCTTTGTTAATCCTTTATACAGCCAAGACTGGTGTTGATTGTAATCAGGAAATAATAGCATCCTACAAAATTTTATCTTCGCAACAGCTCTATTCACAAAATTTAAAGATTGCTCAAGTGAATCAAACTCAATTTGACCACGATCACAGCCCAACAGATCATCATTTGCACTCACACATGGGCAGACGGAATCAAACAGAGTCAATCTCCTTTCCAGCTTCAACGAATCCCCACTTGACACAAGGTAGTCTTGTACCAAAACAATTGATTTTACAAGAAGACTATTGAAGAGAAGATTCGAGTATTCTTCCTTCGATAAAGGAAAGGATTCATCAAGTCCTATTTCAAAAATTTCCTTGCAGACAAAGCTATTCCAGTTTGAGAAACCATCCAAGAGTCTCCTCCCATAGAAAGAAATTATATATTCCAAGTGCTTGTATAACTGGCCCTCAAATTTTAAAACAAATGAATTTAAGAACAAGAAGACCATGGGAAGATGCATTACTACTTCGTCATCAGAAAATAGGTCCAAACAAGTTTCTGTCATTAACTTGGCCTTTGGAAGCAAAGGTTTATTTGGTATTTCAGCAATCATGTGTCCAAAGATAGATAGATGCAGGGGGCTTATTTCAGAAATAAGAAATAATAACTCAGATTTCGTTTTGTTTATCCTGTGCAAGCAATGAGAAAGCAGAGTTACAGGAGTACTTGCCATAACTCTTGACAAAGCCATAATAGAGTGGAGACACAGGTTTGGCATAACTTTATGCATTTTTTTAACAACCTTAACAGCTTTTAGAAGACATGTATTCGCAACGTCTAGTTCAAAATGAATGGCAATCCCATATACTTGAAAAAAAATTCCCTCAAACAGGGGAACGTCAAAACTTTTTTCGTTTATTCCACCAAAGATTTTGAATTCTGTACTTTCTAAGAATGGCTGCCACATGTGCCCCAACAGAAAATCAAAAGCCCAACCAGCAATATGTAAACCAACAGAAAGAGCTGAATTTTTTGATGACAGACAAGAAGCCACATCATGGAAATCAATCCTGGAGAACAGCCACTTTACCAGTTCAAGCAGCTCAAAGGGAGATATGAAGCGAATCAAAGTGTGTAAAGAATAAAATGTAGGGAGCAGAGGCTTGAAGTCCTTTGTTTTGATACATTCATCAAAGTTATTCTTAAATGTCAAAAACAGTTTCTGTGCTAGGCCTTTGAATGCCTTTGCTATCCTCTTATTAGCATGACTATCCTCCAATTGAGATCTTGGACAATTGCACCTAGAAAACAAAAGCTCGCAAGTTGTTCCTAATAAATTTAGGAGATGATGGTTCATCATATGAACTCCTTGTTTAGCTACTTGTAGAAGTATTTCCGAAGTGTCCCCAAAAACTGAATCCGAACAATCTACATTACCAGAAAAAGGCAATTTCAGTAATGCTGTCACTGAAGGATGATTAAAGATAATTTCTGCAACCTCTGCAGCATACTGTAGTTGTAAAGGAGCCTGAATATAAGCTGAAGAAAAATTATTTGTATTTTCAACAAATATTTGTTTCAGTGAGTGCTCTGCAAGAGTAAAGCACATTTCAGAAAGCATCTCAAGTTCATCCAATTGTCTAACAATGTAGGATGATTTTGCCTGATTGATCCAGAAAAGTAAGTTGCAGAAAGAAGAAATCAAATGATCAGGGGGCATCTCTGATAGTTTAGCCAGAAGAAGTTTTTGCAGCTTCGGGTGCTTGAACAAATGTGAATCCTTGCTGTGTGCAGTGGCTGAAAAGAGCACATAAAATGGAGCTTTTTCTAAATAGAGAGAAAATGCAGCGGAATCGGCTTCCATTGAATTGAGATCAACTTTTTGAATCATCTCATCATTTCTTTCTTCACCACGCACTCTAACACTTTCCAGACCAGCAGTGAACATTTCAGGCCACAATTTAGAAACATCAGTAAAAAAACTTGATTGAAGAAAAAATATAGACGACAAGACTAAGAAAGTGGCCCCAAGCAAGTTATTTGCAATAGATATGACTGATGGGAAATTCCATAATATCTCAGCAGGTGACGTGCACATCATTGAAAAGGAAAACCCCAGAGTTAATCCAACCAATCCAATACCATACTCACTATTCATAATTCTTTTAACATCCTCGAGAGAACTGACAAAGGAACTGTCAGAATGCATAACTTCCCCAAGAATTGAAGAAATTTTATATGTTTGTCGCTGAAAAATAGTTCGTGAAAAAAGCAATAAGGTCGTCAACGGCCTCCACTCACACGGGCAGGCCGAAAGATCCAAGACATCAACCTTGCAGCTAGAACTCGCCAACTTCTCAGATAACAAACGATCAATAAGAAACGATAATGGGCCAGCATCTACCTAGCCAAGTTCAATTACTAAATTTTGTCAGTGTATCAATGAATGAACCTTCATACAGAATCATGTAGGGAAAGTAAACCAAGGACAAAAGTAAATAGCATGAAGAAAGAAAGATATAATGCTACCTGAGTATCCATTATATATTTGATTGTGCAACACGTGTACAACGATATCAGCGTCTTTTGGGGTAATGTGAAGGCACCAGAGCCAGAACTAAGCAAGCGCAGGCACTTCTCCAAGATACAAATAATGAAAGGGCTAAATTCAGGAATTAAATCTGCCAGAATATCACATCACCATTAGGGTGCAATTTAATTATGCTACAAAAGAATGGTTTCGATGCAATTAAAATTATAAATCACAGGTTGAGCGGGAAACAGGAACCACATTTTGTCGTCTTCAGATTTTTAACTTAATCCTATACATGGAACACCTAAAAATTCTCAGTCTATTAAACTATGTTAATTGTTATTATAGTGAGAACCAGAAGACCACGAAAAGAAGATCGGGTTGAAAATCGATTCCTGATCTGAGCTAGGCCAATGTCATTAAAAAGGGCTAAACCAGTGCATCAATGCCACACCACATATAACAAAAACATGGTAACATTTTATTAGCAAATGGAAGTAATAAAAAAGCCACATCAGTATAGTGTTATTAGAAGTCATTAGAACCAAGTAAATAGGGAATTGTAAAGGTCATGATTAGGTACCCCAAGCATTTTGGAGTACTAAATTTGGCTATTCGAATCATTTTTTCTTCAACAAACTCCCTTTGTGTGATTTTTACGAGGAAAAATTATTGAAACAAAAAATTACTCACAAAAGTACAATCTACAACTCTACTAGAAGATTGGTAGTATTCCCCTTATTTTGTCAATAGTTTAAATTAGAAAGGTAATAAGTTCTTCACAAAAGATTCAATACCTTCATGAAAGATTTTTTATAATTCATAAATTAGTCTATACTAAGTAATCACATTTTTCACTAAGAAACAATTGCAATACTGATCCAGTTCCATGAATTGCTTGGTAATATTATGGCTGTCATGAGTATACCACTTCCTAGACAGAAAAGACGATTCACTACAGTGACTGAGATGCTAATCCTGATCATAGAGCCCTTCAGAAGGCCAAAAACAGTTACAGGAAGTAAAAGAGAAAATATCATTCCTAACACTTCAAAAACGAGAAATAATCAAAACCCACCCATCTCCTAACGCTGTTTTATGGAATAATAAGAATCTCACTCCTTCAAGACAACTCCTCGCAATTATAAATAGAAAAGGGACAAGATAAAACAAATTTTTTAGGCAAAATTGAACCATAAGAATAAAGAAACTAAATGAAAACTTCGTAAAAAAATACGGAAGGAATTTCACCCCACTATGGCTATCAAAATATAAAAAGCATTTCAACAGGAACTAAAGCCAAGTCCCAAGAGTCCTAATGCCAGTTAATAAAGATTCAAAAACAAATGCTAATATCCCTTCTCAATTTTTTTCCACTTATCTTTGGTCTGTATGTCTTCCATCATTACAAATTCTCTCTACACTAATTGCTTGAGTTCTCTTTACTTCAACTCGTCAACTTAAAGAAATACATTTTATCAGTAGCACTGATCAATATTTTATCTCTATATATACAAATTCTCAACTCAAACAGAAATAGCAGGAGAATAAGATGGTTTTAAAATTTTACACAAAAACAATTGATCGCTAATGAGAACAATTTGATAAAAGAAACTGTAGCTTCAGCTAAAATTTTCGTGAATAAAGACGATGGACAAAATTTCAATTACCTTTACCACCTTCTGAATCATAGGTATATTGCCTCAAGAGGTCCATGTATTTAAATAAGTTATTTCCAATTGTTGAAACAGCATCACATAAAAAAGAAACAATAGTTGAAGACAGCTGTTGTAAGATTTCAACCTCTGGTTCTTCAACATTAATACTGTTGCTGTTATAGCCTGGTATAAAGAAGAACCAAGCAAAAATTTCCCTTGCGTTATTGTCAAATGCACCAGTACTTAACATGGCTGCTTGTGCCAGAATATAAGCTTGTTCTTTTATCTCCCTAATTGGTGAATAAATTAACAAGCTCAGAAATGGATGTAGATGCCTATACATTTGTGCCTGGGTTCTAATCTGAGTCCTGTATTTAGAAAACCAACCAACATGCTGAATAAGCAGTGGTAATAAGGACTGCAGCAGAATAGGTGGTAGTGATACGGGATTACTTGGTAGAACTTTAAAGAAATCAAAAGACCCCTCAAAAGCTGCAGGCATGGTCCTCTGCAAAAGAATATCAGAGCATCCATAATCAGCAAAATAGAGAATAATTTAACTAGGAAGAATGGAAATTATCCTATAGGTCCTAAGTGGAATATTATTTAAATTCACGTATTCAAGTCCTTGATTATTTCTTAATATCAAACAATAAATCAGTTTTATCATCCTTAAAGCTTAACCAACACGGCCGTACATCAACATAGTTATCGAGTATTTACAAACTCAGAAATATTTACCATTTTTAGTGCTTGATTGTATCAGAATAGATTTTCCAAAGGTGAAAATTTTGGCTAAACTCAGGAAGATCAATTTATTTCATAGATATTCTAGTATTTCTCCCTTATACTAAAATATTTAGTATCTCACCACTTACAAGATAGATTTGAAGTACATTAAGCAGCTTGGAGTAAAAATATGTTTCCCCTTCTTTTAGAGCCATGTCTATCAAGGAGCATTGACGCAAACCCCAAATATCTCCAATAGTCTTCACAAAATCGTTTCCATTACTAGACTGATGCCCATCACTTGAATCCAGAACCCCTTCACTGTCCCCAGATGAATTTAACTCGGGAAAAGAATTAATCCCACCTACAAGAATGTCCACATCCTCGTTTGCAGTAGAAGCTTTCAACTTTTTCCTACCATTCCTAGTATGTTCTGACTTAAGAACTGATTCAGCTTTTCTCTTTGAAAGAGACCAGAGATTCTTGTAGTGACTATTCATAAAAGACAAAAATGACAAAAGAACTTGGGGATCAGGAAGCAAAACACGGACTTCATTCTGAATGTCTTGCTTTAGAACCGTCCATCTATGCAGCATTTGATTCTTTGAATAACATGTCTCCAAAGAGCTCATTAAAGACTCCAAAACCTTCAATTCCTCCAGTACAAGCCTCAAAGTTCCGTGTTTTACAAGAGAATCAGAGTGAAGTAACCCTTTATTTATTACTAATCTAGAAAAAGGTCGTGGGCTTATACATTTCATTATATTTTGCACGTATGGACTGTCGAATGTAGGTGGATCTCGAGAATCGACAAAACTAAAAGCAATCCCATCACTCACTGAGGATACCACATTTGCAGCCAAAGAAATAGCAGCAAACCTGCAAATACCTCAGTCACTGCACTTAATCACAAAGACACAAAAAACTTATGCATATATTTGTAAAATTAGGAAGTCTTTCTTCATGCATGTATCTATATAGTTTGCACATCATAGTATGTGTTGCCACATAGCAAATCATAACATATTGCATTGGAAATGCTAACCAGTTAGGTGATGCGAGATCTTCAAGGTTGAAAGGGAACTCATCCAAATATGCAGAACCAAGTGACGGTCTTCCATTCACAATAGCCAGAAGCAGATCCTTGTGGTACTCAACTTCAGTTGCCTTCAACTTCTTCATCAAACCCAAAAGTCGTTTTGGATTCCCTCTCAAAGGACTTGGCTGTCTGTCCAAATCCGGCATCAAGCCGTTCTCAGGATTAGTACAGACCGTAATCAGCACACTGTGAGCCAGTGCCGCAGCATCCCCAAAATCAGCCCTCCCTGAAATGCTAACCAACTTTTCCAAAGTAACGCTACCAAACAACACACTCCTAAGCCCCGGAGGCACCGAAGACTCGGGCACTAGCACCCTGTGGCGCAATATTGAGAGAACATGAACCACAGTCTCCTCATCATCATTTCCCAGGCCCCTCAACACCCCTGAATACATCTCCTTCTGTTGCAAAATCCCCCTCAACAACCTCGGATTTCCAACCTCCAAAAATGCCATCGCAAACCCCACATATGCTTTCCTTGTTGAGTATTTCTTCCTTCTCTCCTCAAATCTTTTTGCCCTCAATTTGACTTCGGCAAGTTTTGGAAAAATAGTTAGCTTAAAATCAAAACTCTTTGCCACTTCCCACGCCATCTGAGAACTACGCCTTATAATCGAGGCCAACAACAGGAGCACGGAATTCTGCCTCTTTACCTCTTTACTATTCAGCTCCTTGTACAAATCCTTCATCTTCTCCTCAATTATCACTCGAGCAAACTTATCCAATGCCCGCCCAATATTAACACCACTATTAACATCCAAGTTATCAATCATCCCACTGGGGTGGCTTAAAATCACGGAAATCAAACTTAACAGGTATGAAAACCCAGATTTTTCTTTCCGGGCATTCCAGGCTTGGAAAATCTCAACAAGCTTGGACGACGTTTGAATGTAAGCTAGGAGGAATTCTGGCCCAGACTCGGACTTGAGAAGTTTGATGAACTCTTTTGAGGCATCAGAACAGAGTTTTGATTCAACGGAAGTGAGATTTCGGAGGATTTCTTTGAGTTTAGCTTCATGGTTGATTTTGTTTGTGAATTCTGGCGGCTTTTGCTCATTGCAGTCAATGCCATCAGCGTCTTCCATTTGGGCTTTAAGGGACTGAATCAAAACAGAAGATTAACGATTAATCTACAGATAATCACTATGATAGAAAGAGCGCAACAGAGATGGAGAGAGACGATAAGTCCATAAACCCTAAAGGGGAATGAGTTGGAATAGCCAACCCTCAACTGCGCAACAAGTTTTTGTCTTAATATTCTTTGACCAAATTCTTTAAAAAAAAAAAAAGAATTAATTATTTAGAAATTTCAAATGTCTACTTTACCCTCTCTAATATAACCAAATAAATAAGGAAAAAGAAATTTTGGAGGTTCAAGGATTTGAACCCTCGATCTGTGAAAATAACATGCACCTCACACCATTAGGACATTGAATAATGTTAGTAATTGTTTTGTAATAACCTATATATATATCTTAACAAATCATATTCAAATTTACAAGCTCCAAAGATTTGAACTTTCAACCTTTAAGAAAAAGTTTTTAAAATGTTATCCTCACCACTAGGACATTGAACAATATTGTTAAATTTTTTGCAATAACCTATATATATATCTTAACAAATTATATTCAAATTTACAATATCCAAGGATTTGAACCTTCAACCTTAAAGAAAAATTATGTTTCTCTCACCATTAAGACATTGAACAATATTGTTTATTTTAATGCCATAACATATATATAACCTTATATTTCTGAATATCTTGAAAAATTATAGTCAAATATTTTACTTTATTCTATATACGTATTATGTATTAAAAGATTAATTTTAATTAAGATAAATTGAATGTCTACAAAATTTATGATTTCGAAATATATAAATAATTAGTGGCAATTAACTTAAAATCTTTAATTTGATTTCAAATAATTTTTTTTATATTTTTAAGTAATCATCCACCGGTCCAACTATTAATTTTTTTATTTTTTCCCCTTCATCCCTCACGTAAACTTTTTACGACGTGCAATATCTA